TAAGGTAATACCTGCAACTGCAGAATCTTAGCATTTTAGAGATGATGAGGACTCCAGAGATTCTTTAATCCAAACCCTTTATTTAATGGAAGAAGGGAAAAAAGGTCTAGAGAAGTTGTGATTTCTCTCAGATCACACAATAAATTAGTGCCAGAGGTAAACAAAAGCCTAATTTCCACTTTATATTTCCTTGACAAACTGTAGAACAATTGTAAGCCGCTGATATATTCCACATACTAACACCACTCTGTTGCCTTTTTAGGTTCTACTATGTTAGGTTTACGTTCCCCTGCTTTTTACATTCCTGTTCAAAGAGTTTCTGACTTAACCACAGAGAGAATTCCAGAACATGAGACATAGAATAAACTTGAGCAATCAAGTCCATCTACTTCATTTTCTCATCGAAAACCAAAGGTCCAGTGAAGCTCTGGAACTTGACCCTGTAAACGAGTCAAGGAGCATCTATACAGAGCTTCAATCCCTGTCTCCTTATCTTGTATCAGCAGACTTGACTGCAATCTGGATTATGCTGTTTTCCAAGCATTTAAAATAAAATAAAAAGTTTAACAGTGTGATAAATTCTTTCAAAAAGCAAGTAATCACATTTATGTATCTGCTTACATTTGGGGTTTCCAAACAGCACGTGTGTGTGTGTGTGTGTGTGTGAGACTGTGCATGTAAACTTTAAACATGGTACATCTGTACCCAATAAATCATAACCATCAAATAATAACATAGAAATCCAATTCTCCCCTCATACTCATTAAGATGGCTACTAACCATATACAACGGAATATTATCCAGCCTTAAGAAAAAAGAGGAAATCCTGCCATGTGCTAAAACATGGATGAACCTCAAAGACATTGTACAAGGTGAAATAAGCCAGTCACACAAAGTAAATCACTGTACGATTTCACTTATATGAGGTACTTAAAGTAGTCAAACTCATAGAGACAGAAAGTTGAATGGTGGTTGCCAGAGACTGAGAGGAGGGAGGAATGAGGAATTCTTGTTTAATGGGTATGGAGTTTCAGTTTTGCAAGGTGAAAAGAGTTCTGGAAATGGATGGTGGTGATGCTTGCACATTATGAATTATGAATGTATTTAATACCACTGACCTATCCATTTAAAAATGGTCAAGAGGGCAACAATTAATACAGTAGACATTTTACCACAATAAAAGAATGAGAAAAATCCAATCCACCCTTCCTTGGTCTAACATGGTCTTCCTCCACCCCCAGCATCCTCTCTCCTATCCACTCCCAAGTGCCAGTCAGTGAGGGAAATAAGGACCATTATTATTTTCATTCTCTCTCTCTACAACAATTTCCCTATTGATTCAAGCAAGAATGTGGGGTAGGGATTATGGGCAATATGACTTACGATAAACTTTCACTCTGCAAAACAACACTCTCTTTTAAACATCTCCTCTCTTTTGAACTGGATTTGCAACCCCAGAACTAAAAAACAGGCTACAGAAATGATGCATGTAATTTTTGATGTGTACCCCGAGATGAGCAAGTTTAGATTCATCCTGGGTTTGGGTAATGAATTCTGATCCTATGCATCATCAAAGATTCCTTTATTTCTCCTCCTTGTTTTTCCTCCCCATGAGTGTATCTGCTATTGAATCATGTGCACTCCATTCAATGATTATCTCACTATAAGAAGGTCAGTGGGGAGCAACCTATGTGTCTCCACTGTTCCCAACAACCAAGAGAAATTTTAAGGAATGATGCCTCAAATCAAATTACCATAATGCTAAATTCTCAAGATCTAAAGCAGAGTAATGCAGACAATATTAGTGATGTGGCTGTCTCTTCAAGATCCTAACCTGTAAATGACAGAAAATAATGCTGTCTTTAATTTTATTTGCACATGATTAATGGAATGATTAAAAGCTGTTAGTGGCAGGGCACAGTGGTTCACACTTGTAATCCCAGCACTTTGGGAGGCTGAGGTGGGAGGATCACTTGAGCCAAGGAGTTTGAGACTGGCCTGAGCAATAGAGTGAGACCCTGTCTTTAAAAAAAATTAAAAAATTAGCCAGGCAAGGTAGCACACGCCTGTACTCTCAGCTACTCAGGAGGCTGAGGTGGGAGGATCACTTGAGCCCAGGAGGTCAAGGCAGCAGTGAACAATGATCACACCACTGCATTTCAGCCTGGGTAACAGAGTAAAACTCTGTCTCAGAAAGAAAACAAAGCTGTTAGTAAAATAACTTGACATCCTGTGTTACTGGATAGCAACAGTTAAAAGAGAATAAAACGTTTAGCACTTTGCTTCCACTAGAGATATATAATCTGATAGAAAATTTCATGAGTGACCAATTCTGATCCTATAATATGGTGCAATACTGTATCCTGAGTAGAAAATCTAAAGAGTCTCTAGTATATTATATAATCCCAAACTCAACCATATGTTCAGTACTTTAGCACTTATTATAAAAACTAAAAAATAGTCTAATGTATTGCAGAGCATGGACTGTCAAGCTGTGTTCAAGGACCAGGTCCTACTGTGTGACCTTGGACAAGTTACTTGACCCCTGTGTGCATCTGTTTTCTCATCTGTAAAATGGACATAATAAGAAAAGGTAACTAAAATGATTTTGGTATGCTGTAACTGTTTAATCCACATTCTTTGCTATTACAGTAAACCAATCATCTACTATTGAGTAAACTCAATAAAATTGTTTTGCATTGCTTTCTCATTGTCTTACGAAGAGTTGTACAATGTTAACAGATAATGATTTCTGAATCACTACACTGTTGAAAATCTTTATTGCTTCCCTGTGATCTTAACAGTCATTTTTAAGTGTTAGGCATTCATTGACTGCAAACACTCCATTGCCCAGTATAAAAAGGAGGGAATCCTCAAATTTTCTAATTGGACAAAAATGAAACATAAACTGAGGGCACCGGTGTGTCTCAAGTTACTAGTAACACAGGATGTCAAGTTATTTTACTAACAGCTTTGTTTTCTTTTTGTTTTTGAGACAGGGTCTTGCTCTCACCCAGGCTGGAGAGCAGTGGTGTGATCATAGTGCATGTGTTCACAACTTCAAATCCTGGATGGAAAAATAATCCTCACTCTAAAAGGACATAAATAATATTGAAATAAAATTGATTATTGTAAATACATCTAAGGAGGTTTGCAAAGCAATTTCAGCTAGTTCTATGCAATATTTCTTTTTCTTTTATTTTTTTTACCCATCCTTTCACTCCTCCCATCCTCAATCCTCAGGTAGGCCCCAGTGTCTGTTTGTTATTCCTTTCTTTTCTTTTCTTGTTTTTCTTTGAGACAGAGTCTTGCTCTGTCATCCAGGCTGGAGTGCAGTGGTGTGATCTTGGCTCACTGCAACTCCCGCCTCCTGGGTTCAGATGATTCTCCTACCTCAGTCTCCTGAGTAGCTGGGATTACAGGCATATGCTACCACACCTGATTAATTTTGTATTTTTAGTAGAGACGGAGTTTTCCCATGTTGGCCAGGCTGGTCTCGAACTCCCGACCTCAGGTGATATGCCCCCATCGGCCTCCCAAATTGTTGGGATTGCGGGCGTGAGCCACCACGCCTGGCCTCTATGCAATATTTCTAATATGATATGCAAGCTGAGGAACATTTATATATTGCAGATGACAGAGCACTATTAAGTCCCAGTGTTCATAAAGATGATGGCATTTGGAAAAGCACCATCGCCAGAAATTTCTAAAACCAAAGTGGAGCTGGTTTTTATTCTAAGCCTAAAGTATTTTTAAAACAAGCCACAGGGAAATAATTACTTTTGTTTCTATTCAATCAAGACCTGCATACAGAGTTTATGGAATGACATAATATCCTTCCTGAAATCAGACCGGCATGTAGGACCAGCATCCTTCACACATAACTAGTTCCTGAATCTTTACAAACAAATCCTAATTTCCAAGGAAACAATCTCATCAAATGCTGCTCACTAGAATACATATTGTTCTTTTTGGAAACATTACAATAAGATTTTCATGATTACAAACCCCAACTTCCTCTCTAATATTCAATATAATCTTAAACTCATTTATTTAAATGGAAACTGTATTTTTATAATGGCTGTAGAAATTCCTGGGTAAGTTATATAGCACCAATATAATAATTTCTTTTATTTTAGTCGGAGGCGGGGGTGATCATTAATGGACTATAGACATGTGTGTTAGGAACCTCTTAGGAATGTTCATCTTTCTACTTTCTCCTGATATGCCGTATAAGGATCATGTTTAAAATTTTTTTTTTCTTGGAGACTGGTAAATTTTAGTAATGTCCAGACTTCCAGGCTGGTATTTTGGGGGGGGCCAAGAATAAAAAGAAAATCAAGCAGCTTATAATCAATATTCTCTTCTCTTTGCCTTAGGAAGCTGAAGTTTTGTATACAGGTCATAGGATTTGTTTTGAGATAAACAAATACCTTAATTCTTTACCAGAAAAGCAATATCAACACATCTGTGGCAACTGCTGACACAAACGTACCAACAGGAAGAGAATGCGATTCTAGTGCTTGGCCTTCAGAACAGAATTCTTACTTTCCTCCTCTTCACTAAGGATGTTCCAAATACTCCCGACAGGGTGGACATTAGTCCCCCGCCCCCTCCCTAAGGAAATAAACAAGTGTCCACATTCTAAATGTGAGGGAGTGTGAGGAAATTGCAGAAAAGCTCGTAAGATCCACACTGAGTAACGATTCTCATCTGTTCTGTAGACACATGTAAGTTTTGGAATTTATGATTCACTCTCCCACCGTGAAGTTTTCTGTGCACTTTATGTTGAGCTATGTGGCAGCATAGGGCTGTCCCTGTTTGTGAAAACTGCAACCTAAAGTTATTTTTCCAAAGTTATGGGTAGTGTGGCATAGAAATCCATATGTTATAAAGTGAAAACAATAATTAAAAAAAAAAAAACAACACTGGGTTAGCATGAAATAGAGCCAACAGAAATCAGAATGAGCAACAACAGCCTTCCACTGCCGGCCACTCACCTTGTTGAATTTTAGTCACTAGCTGATGGCGTGCTAGAATCCGGCTCATCCTGTAAGGAGAGCGTCTTGTAGTCTGATCAAATCGCAAGTACATCTCCTGGCCCTCAGGTGTCATGGAATTTAGGTAGTAGCAGCCTGAGGCTGGGGTCCTGGGCACCTGACTGAACATCTCGGCAGATTTCCTGTTGCCACCTCAGTCTGCCTGTGGCTCTTTTCGTCTGTCTCCAGTCTCAGTCAAAGAGCAAGGCACCCAGCCCAGGACAGCTCAACAGACCCAGCGATTTTTAAAAAGAAAAAGGAGTGCCAAAGCCACAACTCAGAATTCCAACCCCCCGCCCTCATGTGACCACGGGAGCCAATGAGAGGAAGAGAGGAAAATAGGAACTTTCGCAGTCAGCCCTAAGCCCCGACCAGAGGCAGTTCCAGCCGCCAGGATCCCCCACACAATGCTGAAAGCAGAATACACGTATTTGACGTGCCTCAGAGCTGACGAAGCACCCAAAAGCAGCCCTCACTAAAAGAGTTAAAAGAAAAAGAGAGGAACGGCAAAGGCCATAGAAGACAAACAAGACCAGGGGCAGGAAACTTTTCAGCTGTCAAAGTTAGAGAAAGTGCCTTCGCTTTCTATAAGGCAGCGGCGGCAGCCAGGTAAAAGACGGACCTGATAAATCTCTTTAAAAAAACAAAACAAAACAAAACAAAACAAAACTTCAAACAAGCATCAACAGCTGAGTGTAAACTATCAGCCTTCGTTATCAAGAAACAACTCAAATAAAAACTTTTCCAGTGAAAAACTAACTTATAAACTTCAAGGGCTTTAACACCAGGAGTAAATACAGCACAGACTCCTGACCCTCACGTGTCAGGAATTGGAGGGCTCTTACAGGTAAGACAAGGCACACACGTGGTCCTTATTAAGCATCTGTTCCTCTTTGATTTCTCTACTTCTCCAATTTTTAATCACCTAGAGGCAAAATACTTAGAAAGTGCCTATCACATTTAAGGCATTGAATCATTAAAGACAAGAATCATTTCAGAAGTTGCAAAGATATCAAAGATACGGTCACCAACCTGCTAAGGATCCATTGAGAAATTATCCAAAGCTTCTAACATGAGGCCACATAGGTGTCTCGAAAAGGACACGAACACAATGCCAGGTGAGCAATATTATTTTTGACTGGGGTGATGATTGCAAGCCAGAGAAAGAGACATTTGGATAGGCTTTTTAAAATGGGGGGAATTCGGATAGGCAGAGGCTAGGGAGGGCTTTGCAAGAGGCTCTAGGTGCCCATGTATGCAGACCCCAAACCAGACTGTGTGTTTAAGCAAACTGCTAGCAGTTCCATTTGGCTATATCTGAGTATATATATATGGGAGTCATTATACTTTTTCCCTGTTTTTCTTCTTTAATATTGTTAGATATGAAGAGAAGAAGTCCATAGAAAACATGTTATCAAATTCGGAGCCTGGGGCTGAATGAATAAGGTTCTTACATAAAAAAGTATATGACCAAGCTGCTTCTACTTTTGGCTGACTCCAGCTGAAACATAGCCTGGCCGGGCATTTATAGTCTAACAATGAGAAATTATTTCAAAATTATTTCCAAATTGAAAGCTTAACAGGACTTAAACTGGGGCTTCGATTCTTCTTACTCTGGCTCTCCGAGGCCCGTCAGCCTTAAAAACTTTCCCTGAGGGAATGGTTGCTAGCTGGATTCTGAGAAGCAGCTCGTCTTGTGTAACTGTCCCACTATGTAAATAAACAAGTTAAGAAAGATCGCTGGGGCACAGCATGTGACAATTGCCTTCTATCTCACAGTAGTTGTTCATCCTTAGCCTCTTCGGATGGTTATACAAGAGTCAGCATGTCTTTGTTTGCAGGTTGGCTAAATAGCAGAAGGGCAAAGGAGATCTACTGGGTCATATTGTGCACTTTCCATTCTTATTTCGGATTTGAGCAGCAGGCTGTTTCATAGCATCCTTTGTGGAAGGTGAAAGGGATCTGAGACCTAACGAACGGCTCCGCAGAAGCATGGATGTGAACGGAGAAAGGCTGAGAACCATATTGCAAAGTTGCTGCCTGGAAGGTTCATGAGCCCAGCTCAGTCCCCACTGGTGGCCATGTGACTGAGGTGCTTATATCAGCTGCTTTGTGCACATGCTTTCAGCTTGATAGTCCAACACTGGGAGCAGCCGTGTTGTAACTTTTTGTTCAAGCCAGACACTTGGTAGTTAGCACTTTTTTTACTAGGGAGAGAATGGAAGGAGGGTGGAGAGAGAAAGAGAGTGCAGCGTGGGATTTGGGATCATTGAACATGTTCTGGGAAACCAAGTAAAGGTGAGGAAAAGGTAGGAAAAAATACGTAGCTTTTTATAGGGTTGGATAACACTTAAAGCTCACGCCTGGAATCTCAGCACTTTGGGAAGCTGAGGCGGGTGGATCACAGGGTCAGGAGTTCAAGACCAGCCTGGCCAAGATGGTGAAAACTCGTCTCTACTAAAAATACAAAAATTAGCCAGGCATGGAGGCAGGCACCTGTAATCCCACCTACTCAGGAGGCTGACAGAGAATTGCTTGAACCTGGGAGGCAGAGGTTTCAGTGAGCTGAGATCACGCTACTGCACTCCAGCCTGGGCGACAAAGTGAGACTCCATCTCAAAAAAAAAAAAAGACCAGCCATTCCCAATACCAACTTGCATTTCATTGCTGACTTGGCTGCATTCTATCACAAAAGCAAGTGGAATGATTGTTCCTGAGAAGGACTGCAGTATGTCAAGGCCAAGTTACTAGAAAAAACAATAACAATTAAACTTATATTGTCTCCTTTTTGCATAGCAATGAATGTGTTGAAAGTTGTAGGGTGTCTTGTTCTGAAAACATCAAGATCGTAAGTTTGTATTTATGACTATATGTAATAGTTAATAAAAAATTTTTGGCAATGGAGAGCAATAATTGAACTTACTATTATTATTTTTTAAATACGGTGCCTCACTCTGTCACCCAGGCTGGATTGCAGTGATGCAATCATAGTTCACTGTAGTCTCCAGCTCCTGGGCTCAAGTGATTCTCTTTCCTCAGTCTCCCAAGTGGCTGGGACTCCAGGTGCACATCATCACACCTGGCCAATTTTAAAAAAAATTTGTAGAGACGGGGTCTTGCTTTGCTTCCTAGGCCGATGGCCAACTCCTGGTTTCTAGTGATCCTCCTGCCTTAGCCTCCCAAACTGGTGGGATTACAGGCATGACCCATTGCACCTGGCCCGACATTTTTTTTTAAAGGAATTTTTATTCCCTAATTTAAAAAAAGCCAACTTAGAATAAAGCCTAAGTTTTTCAAAAAAATCAGCCAGCGTTTTAATAAGGGGATCTAGGATCACATATCAAGAGTTCGGTCTTCTGTATGCATATACAGGGCCCCTAAAGTTTTATTTCATGGTTCAAGTAGTATCTGTAAATTCATGCACCTGCTCACCATATTTTGTCATTTTGTATTTCCGAAGTATTATATTTAAAGCAAATAGGTAACATTATTTTCTCATTAGCATGCCATTAGTACCTTGTTTTATGCTAATATATTGCTATTGCTATGAAACCTGTACTTTTTAAATGAATTCTTTTTTGTGATCAGTTAGTTCCAGTGTTAGAAGAATTACCACTGGGGTAGACAGTGCTGTTGTATTCACATCAATAAGTGGCTAGTTCTCTCTCCCGCTTGTCCTTTACATGCAACTGAGAGAGTTGATCCTCTTCTCCAGTGAGTGCATGAGGTCCTGTGGAATCAAAGAGGAAGAGAGTGCCCAAATTGCAAGCATCTTCCAAGACTGACACCATATCTCTCCCTCTCTAGCGCCTTTAAAAATGAGAAAAACGGATGGCACTTGTGTTCAGTTTTCACCTACTTTTCTTCATCCTCATTTGGTTAAATTGTGATCGCCACTCAGACTATTTCAGAATGAGATAAACAGATGATTACCAGGAACCAAAGACAGCAAAAGACAAGGGACAGGAAAAAGGAGAGAGGGGGACAGCATTGAACCCCTACTCTGTGCCGGACCTGAAGCCTTCATGGCTTCACATTTTATTTTATTTTATTTTTACATTAATCTCCACAGCTATCCCTGGAGGTATCTCATTGGATGGAAAGGAGGCTAAGACTCACAGAAGTTACATAGCAAGTGCAGAGCCTCTGTGCATCTCCCAGCGGATGCTGTTTTCACTCTTTCCATTATTACAGATGAGAGACAGGGAAGGAAAAACAGGGACTGGAAAGGCACTGCGGAAATTGGAAAGGGAGAGCATTTTGGAAGAAGAGCCTGAAAATCATCCTAATACTATTTAACTGCCTGCGATACTGGGATGTCTACATGGAAATATGGGTAGGGGGTGGCTAAAATCCCATAGTGATTGAGATCTGGTGTCTTCAAGGAAGAAGTATAGAGCCCAGAGCCCTTATCAAACAACAGGAGCCACACGCCCTCTTAGGAGTAACCCATAGGTAAGAACTAGAGACTCACCCCACCCCCCAAGCCTCAAATAAACAAGCAGCTCAGCTTGACCCTCTTTGCCAACCCTTTCTAGGGTAGTTTGTTTATACTGTGCACTCTGTCTGTCCTCAAGGCTAACGCTGTCTATGTCTTGAGTTTCTCATGGTGTTCACTCTCAATGCAAACACTCCAAATACAGTCAAAACTCTGAAATTTGACCTCTAAGCAAAACTTTTGGTATTTCGAATTTTCAAGTCTTTTGATAGATGATCCCAGATTAGCGCTCAATGGAATCTTGTATACACAGGGCAGAAAGCTAAGGAGTGCTTTTACAGAAGCCAGGAATGGCTCACTGTCTGCTGCCCTTTCTGCTCCTTCACACACATTCCAGCCTCCTCGTCAGTCTGCTCAGAGGGAGCCAAGGTAGTTCTGCCAAGTGGGAAAGTGTTTGAGATACAAGTGGCAGGCGGAAAAATGCAGGGCTGATTTGGAAGGCTGCTTTCGAAATTACGGGAACCCAAAGGTTGTGGGCTGATGTCACAGCCTTCCTGTGGGCTCTGAAGGCCAGTGTTTGAAGATCTTCACCAACTGATTTGTGATGTGCGTGCCCAACTCAGTGTCAGTTAGCCTTCCCCATCTGCACGCACCCCATGTCCCATGCCCAGTGCAGAAAAGCCAGTGATACTAACACTGGCAGCCATGACCAGGATTCCATGAAAGGGCACGGCCCAGATTGGCTTCCCTAGCTCCAGACCATGGCTCTCATCTGGAGTCCAGAGCCTGCCACAAACACTTGTGGGTGGTAATAGATTTCCTTTACTTTGTCTCTCAGCCCTCCCTACTGTCTGGTAAATTGCCATCTATGGGCCTCCAGGAGCATGTGCTCTCCCCTTATACCATTCCCTGGAGATACAACCATCAGTTCCAGCCCATATGAAAGCAACCTGGTCTGTCCTGTCCTGGGACCATTCATTATTACATCCACCCACTCCAGCCCAACCAGAATTCTTTCACTTTTCTCAATTGTTTCACAGATCTGGAATTGTGTGATTCCCTCCTCTTCCACCCATGAGGCTCAGTTAAAACCAATTGCCTCCAGAAAGACTTTCATGACTAACAGAAAGCTCTTTAGCCTTACCAGTCGTGTCAATACCTGTAAACCATCGTTACGTGGCACATTAATGAGATTGGCTTGTCATGTGTTCATATGGAATCTATTTGTTCCTTGCAACTACTGCAGGCATAAAGTTTTGACATCTTGGATTTAGAAGAAATATTAAACATTTTCTTTCTTTCTTTTTTTTTTTTTGAGACGGAATTTCACTCTTGTTACCCAAGCTGGAGTGCAATGGTGCGATCTCGGCTCACCGCAACCTCCACCTCCTGGGTTCAGGCAATTCTCCTGCCTCAGCCTCCTGAGTAGCTGGGATTACAGGCACGCGCCACCATGCCCAGCTAATTTTTTGTATTTTTAGTAGAGACGGGGTTTCACAATGGTGACCAGGATGGTCTCGATCTCTTGACCTTGTGATCCACTTGCCTCGGCCTCCCAAAATGCTGGGATTACAGGCTTGAACCACCGTGCCCAGCCATATTAAACATTTTCTAATCCAACCACTCAACTACTTCGCCCATCTCTACTCAACTGCAGTAGTTAATTCTCTACCTAGGTATACAGAGTTTACTGGCTCACAGAGGACCCCAGAATGTTGAAGAACATTCTTCCTTTTAATTTACATCCACTATCTCTGATTCTGCCATTTGGAATCAGACAGGACAAATCTATGCTTTCTTCCACAAGACTGTCCTTCAGATGTTTGTCAAAACGCCCTTATGAGAATCTTTTTGTGTAGGCTCACATTGTTTTCCCTCGAACCACATGACTTGCAGCCATTCAGCCAGACGACTGCTCTCCTTTGGATCTGCTTCACTCTGTCAGTATCCCTTTAAAAATATGCTGGCATCTACTCTAAGCTTAGAGCTCTAGACTTGGCCAAGCACAATAGTTTATGGTACATTGTGTGCGTATTTCCTGCATTCAGGGCATTGTACTTTTGCTGATGCAGTCTGAGATTAGGGGAGGCTTTATTTTTTATAATCTATATTTACTCATTCATACGTTTAACATTGAATGCCTGAAACGCAGTGCAGTAAGTATAGTAGATACAAAGGTGAGGTTGATGTGGTCCCTGCTCTCAAGGGACTGTCTGCCAGGGAAGACAGAAAAGAAACTTACCACTATACTCCATGTTAAGTGAAGTGTGGGAGGCTAGAAGCTATCTCTATTGCCTCATGCTGTTTTATATATGATCTAAATGTCTTAGATCATATAGAAGCTCATATATTAGACCATATATATCTAAGCGCCTAAATCGCTGGCTGTTATTTTTGTATTTTCATAAAATCTGCTGTTAGGTGAGTATTCTCTAGTCTTTCCTTACCAAATGATCTTTTGAACTTAAGAAGAGGTCTTCAAACTTACTGCAGCAGTTGAGATATGTCCCATTCCTGACTTTCTCCTCCAGCTATTTATTTTTGCCTTGTTATTTCTGGTAGCAAACAACCCCCCACCCCGATAAAATAAACAAGTTACTGAATTTGGGGGAAAGGTAAAGTAAGGGCAGGAAAATAATAAAGCCACGGGTAAAATCCATCACAGATAGGCAAGCATGAAGTCTTGCACATTTGCTCGAAGTTAGTGAGAATGTGGCTTAAGATGCCTCTTAGACAAATAAAAATGGAAACAAGACCAACTACAAAATTCAACATATCCGTAAGATGAAAAACAAAACAGTGATCAAGATAAATACAGATCACCGGCTATGGTGACCCCAGGGAAGATTTTCCCAGGTCCTCATAAGGAATCAGCATGCCTGTAATCCCAGCACTTTGGGAGGCCAAGGTGGGTGGATCACTTGAGCTTAGGAGTTCAAGACCAGCCTGAGCAACATGAAAAAACCTCTCTCTACAAAAAAAAAAAAAAAAAAAAAAAAAAAAAAAAAAAAAAAAAAAAAAAAAAAATTGCAAGAGTTAGCCAGGCATGGCTGCGAGAGCCTATAGTCCCCTCTACTCGAAAGGCTAAGGTAGAAGGATCACTGGAGCCTGGGAAGTCAGGGCTGCAGTAAGCCATGAGTGTGCCACTGCATTCCAGCCTGGAATGTAAGACCCTGTTTCAAAAAAACAAAAATAAAGCGGCACCCTTAAAAATATTGGATATGGCAGCTAAATTTAGTTCACAGTTTCTTAACCACATCCTTCAATGTCAACAATAATATAACAAGCATCATTTAGGAAAAGTAATTTCTGTGAGGGTCTTTGAAAACCACGGTTCAAGTATGCCATTGTCTGTCATCTTTTAACCATATCTCAGACCATATCAACACTTTCCGGCTTAAAATACTCTAAAGTTTTCCATTGCACCAAAAACGAAAATTAAACTCTTTACTTGGCCCACTGGGTCCTGCACAGTCCAGTCCCTGCCAACCGCTCCCCCATCAATTCCAGCTCCCAGCTAGCCTCCTCCACATTGCTGCCTCAGTTGCCGTTCTGCATACATTACTCCCCAGCTGCAATGTTGCATGGAGCCTTCCCATGGCTGGCTGTTTCTCAGCTTCCAAGTGTCAGCTTAACTGATGTACCCTCATGCAAGCCATCTTGTTGACTTCCTCTAAGTGAAGGCAGTATCCCCTTTGAGGTTCCTATAGCCCCTCTCCCAATTTATAATTACATGTGTATTTGTTCATGGACCTGTGTGTTGTGCATTTTTCCAGCAGACTGCTTTGGGTGGACTGTGTCTATTTCATTCACATTGTATACTTGATGCCTACCTTACAGAGCAGTACAGTAGTAGTGATTGCTTGAATAAATGATTGAATAAATAATTGAATAAATAACGAAATGAATTTCCCCAAAGATAAAATTTAGAAATGTCTAGAGAAACAGATGTATTTTTTTTTTAGGCAGTCATAACAAGTATTTTTCTTGTTGCTGATGATACAACTTGGATTGAATAAGGATTGGACAGCAGATAATTCTAGGTTTTATTCTCTGGGAAGAGCCTTAAATACTGTGATACTGAGTGTCAACTTGATTGGATTGAAGGCTACAAAGTATCGGTCCTGGTGTGTCTGCAAGGGAGTTGCCAAAGGAGATTCATGTTTCAGTCAGTGGGCTGGGAAAGCAGACCTACCCTTAATCTGGGCGGGCACCGTCTAATCAGCTGCCAGTGTGGCGAGAATATAAAGCAGGCAGAAAAACGTGAATGGCAAGACTGGCCTAGCCTCCCAGCCTACATCTTTCTACTGTGCTGGATGCTTCCCGCCCTGGAATATCAGACTCCAAGTTCTTCAGTTGTGGGATTCAGAATGTCTTTCCTTGCTCCTCAGCTTGCAGACAGCCAATTGTGGGACTCTGTGATCGAGTGAATTAACCTTTAATAAATTTTCCTTTATATCTGTCTATCCTATTAATTCAGTCCCTCTAGAGAACCCTGACTAATACAAATACGTGTATTTCACCTTGTTGGCTAGTGACAAAAGTATATGCCTTGACCATCAAGTAGAGGGCAGTTTAAGGTCCTCTGTGAAAATTAGCCTGGAGGGATGAGCAAACCTCTTGCTCCACAAAGAGGGGCTAAAGGGCATAAGAAAATTTTAGTAATACTACCTTATCTTTGTGTCAGTTACAAATTGCATAGGCTTGCTTGCCGTGCCTTTAACTAAACAGTACAGCAGCGTTGAGCCAGCTACATTCAGCTGACCCTATAGATAACTCTTCTGAGTGACTTCAGTCCACTGGTTAGTGTTTTGTGGCAACAGCTATCCAATCAGATGCAGTGCTCCAAGCTGCCCTTTTTTCTAGCCTATATTTTTCCACAGGGATATGATGGCAGAGTCTTCTGAGGTGATCACTCACCGACTGTGTCCACGCCTTCCTCTGATGGGCCAGTCTTGCTACCTTACCAAAGTGGAGACTGTGTTCATGTGGCTTCATTTGCTCTTCGTGGACCCAAACTGCATCTGGGTTATTAATCATCTCTGATTCTTCATGCTCATCTATATCTCATTAATAATTCATTCAATAATTTTACTGGAGATTTTAACAAATTTACTATCTAGCGTTTTCTCTAACCTACTTATTTTTAAAAGAATTGCTTATTTGTTTTCAGTGAATTGCTTAGATTACTAGAAGAAAATGGTCAGTCTTTTAGGTAGAATTTGTCTGTACTTAGAGGCTTACCTTCATTTACTTCAGGTAAGATTCTATAGCTTCCTCCCATCTTGAACAATGGTGAATGTTTGTTCTTAATGTTGACTCAAATTATAATTTGAATATCAAATGGACACTTGCTCATTGAAGAAATTCTGTGATGAATCCTCTGGAAAACCTTCTAATTGTCCACTTTGTAAATATTTGGGATTACCCAGTGACAGACACACCATTTAATTAGGATTGTTGTCCGACCTATTGCCCTGGATTCTGTCTCTATTTTTATATACAATCCCTTTCTTCATGGTGTCAAGCAGCAGTTGGGAATTGAGCGTGGCCCACACACAGTGGAGGAATAAAGGCACAGGATGAGTAGTGCAATTTCATTTCTTAGCTATGCCTTCTTGGATAAATGCATCTCAGCATACCAAAAAATCTGTTAGAATGCTTTTCTTTCATATTTCTAATATAAGACCATCAATCTGTACTTGAAATTGGTACAGAGAAGAGTAGCAGCATTTAAGAAATCCCACAAGGAGAGGAGACTATGAATTTGAGAGAGTAGCAAAATATCCCTCTAGAGGTCTAGATTTAGGCATCATGTAGTTCTGAAGAGACTGGAAGATGAATTTTAGGGTAATGGCTGGGAAGGAAGGGGAGGCTCCTCTTTTCAGTTAAGAGAAATAATTTAACCAAAAGTGATCCCGGGGTGATACAGAGATTTTTTTTTCTGGCATCTTGTTTATCATCAACAGAGACAAAATCACTAACTCAACGTTACCATTTCTTTCACCCTTTCTTATTCAAGTATTTCTAATGTATACTTCATGTCAGGCGCAGGGCTAGACTCTGATGGTACAGAGAAGAATAAGACACTGTCTCTCTTCTCAACGATGATTTATCATGGCAAAAGAGGAGGACAGTTACAATTACAGGACTGCATTGCTGGTGCTATGACAGAGGTGTGGAGGGTCCCTGGGGGAGCAGTGGAGAGACGGCTAAGTCAGAACAGAATAGAGGCATTCTGCACAGCAGAAAGATGGTGCAGGAGCCTGGAGGGATGCATACCTGGGCGAGAAGGCCAGGAAGAAGATATGGGGGAAAAGATGCATATGAAGAGAAAAAAATGCATAAATACTTTCCTATGTGACACCCCTGCTTCACTTAATAAGAGAGATTAGTATTCAAACCACCATGACAAGCTGGGAGTGGTAGCTTATGCCTGAAATTCCAGCACTTTGGGAGGATGAGGTGGGTAGATCACCTGGGGTCAGGAAGGTTTAGTTTGACCAAGGCCAGCCTGACCAATATGGCAAGGCCCTGTCTCTACTGAAAAAAAGAAAAATTAGTTGGGCATAGTGGCATGTGCCTGTAATCCCAGCTACTGAGGAGGTTGAGGCACGAGAATCACTTGAACCCAAAAGACGGAGGTTGCAGTGAGCCGTGACAGCGCCACTGGACTCCAGCCAGGGTGATGGAACAAGACTTCATCTCGAAAAAAACAAATCACCATGACTTAGGGGATCTCAGAGACAGCATGCATGGTGATGGGTGTGTTAATTCCACTGCCGGAATCATCACACACTGTATCCCTATCTCAAATCATCTTGCATACCTTGAAAATATACAGTCTTTATCTATCAATTAAATATTTTAAAATTTAAAAATCACCATGATACAACACCTCACATAGTGATGTGTGTGTGTGTGTGTGTGTGTGTGTGTGTGTGTGTGGTGACAGTTGAGATCTATTCCCTCATCAAGTATTCAATAGTCTTATTAATTGTAGTCACCATGCTGTACATTAGATCCCCAGAACTTACTTCTCTTATAATGGAAAGTTTGTACCCTTTGACCAGCATCTCCCCATTCCACAGCCCCTGTCCCTGTCCCTGCCTCTGTTCTGTTCTAACTTAGCCGTCTCTCCTCTGCTCCCCCGGGGACCCTTTACACCTCTGTCATAGCACCAGCAACACAGTCCTGTAATTGTAACTGTCCTCCTCTTTTGCCATGATAAATCATTGTTGAGAAGAGAGACAGTGGCAACCACCATTCTTCTCTCTGCTTCTGTGAGTTTAACCTTTTTTTTTTTTGGAGATGAAGTTTTGCTCTTGTCACCCAGGCTGGAGTGCAATTTCACGATCTCAGCTCACTGCAACCTCCGCCTCCCAGGTTCAACCAATTCTCCTGCCTCAGCCTCTCAAGTAGCTGGAATTACAGAAGCCCACCACCAAGTCCAGCTAATTTTTGAAGTTTTAGTAGAGACCAGGTTTCACTAGGTTGGCCAGGCTGGTCTCAAACTCCTGACCTCAGGTGATTTGCCTGCCTCGGCCTCCCAAAGTTCTGGGATTACAGGTGTGAGCCGCTGCATCCAGCCAAGTTCAACTTTTTAAAATTCCACATCTAAGTGAGATCATGTGGCTCGGTCTTTCTGTGTCTGGCTTATTTCACTCAGCATAATGTCCTCCAAGTTCATCCATTTTTGTGCCTGTTTTGTAAAGACTTTCTGGAAGAGTTCTTTCCTGAAAGAGAATATGTGTGTATGTGTAAAGATGCAGAGACTCAGAGACTCCTGAGTTTTTGGGTGTTTTTTTTGTTTGTTTGTTTTTGAGACAGAGTCTTGCTCTATTGCCAGGCTGGAGTGCAATGGCACAATCTCACTGCAACTTCTGCCTCCCAGATTCAAGCGATTCTCCTGCCTTAGC